GTTGTAATGTGACAAAATATGGAAAAGTTCAAGGGGTATGAATACTTTTGCAAACCACTGTATGTCACTACGTCACACAGTGGAGTCTCTCTGATTGGTTGATGCTGCGCGTCGAGCTGCAAAAGTTCAGATTTTCTAACTTCAGCGATTTGCGCCTCAGCGCGTCGAACGCTCAGATCGTTCAAATCGTTCAAATCGCGCTGCTCTAATCGCGCTGCTCTAATCGCGCTGCTCTAATCGCGCTTGAGGCGCCGCAGCATTTCCCGACGCTGATTGAAGCGCGTCCACCATAGACTTTGTATGTAAACCTGACGCTCCTGATGCTGAAATTGCGTTTGGTGTGAACGCACCGTTACTGTTGGCTGTACGTGAGGAGTGTGACGCTCCATGTTTCTTTGTGTTTGTGTGCTCAGACGTCCAGCCTCGGTGTTAACCCGTGAAGTGCTGGAGACTGTGTGTGCCTGTCTGCTCGCTCAGGCAGAGGAATCTGAACGGAAAGGCCAGACCCCTGCCGTGGCTCAGCACATGATCCTGCAGGAGTTTGGATGCTGTCTTTCAGAGATCGCCAAAGCCTTGTTGAAGTGAACTCCAAACTGACACATTCAGTGTGGAGACAGAGCGACACTGGTACACTGTTCTTCATCTGATCCATTCTTACTTACTTACTTATTTATTTATTTATTTATTGTTTTTTTGAAAATAGTAAAACTTTATTGATCTCAGCTGACAGACAAAAATTCAACTGAAGTTCAGAGGTCTGTAACGTATCTGTAAATATATTCTGTCTGTTTTTTTGTTTAAAGTGATCATAATTAAACTTCAGTGTCGTTCTATCCCATAATCAATAATCATTTAAACCATACTTTATTTACTGTCCATCATTACAGTTGTTATGAATTGACTTCAACCTGTCGAATTGTTGAAAACTTTATTTTGATTATTAATTTACTGTCTTAAAATAAAATATTTATCTAATCTGGTGTTAATGCAGTTATTTCCTTACTATCTTACACCTCTATCAAAACACTGTTAACTACAAATGCTAACAGTATTAGCATTTTCACAACTTGTGCATTTTGTTTCAAGTGAATAACATTTCACAGGTGTTTTATTTATTTAAAAAAAATTTTTTGAAGGCATATATACTAATGTCTTTACTGCCTAAAACACTTTGGTTCATATTTGGATGGTTTAAGTCTAGGAGAAGCTTGAAATAATAATAATTTAAAAAAAGCAAGCAGAGGAACATTCATTGATAACTGATCATTAAGCAGAGAAATCATGTTATAGACACTGTCTGCCAGCACTGTCTCCTACTTTTAGAAACTAGGAACCACAAGTAAACCTGCAGTCTGAGAGCTAAGTGCTCTTTTAGGGAAATATGGAACAATAAGATGTTTGATATATGATGGAGCTTGGTTATCAAGAGCTTTGTATATTAGAAATAATATTTTAAATTCTATTCTAAATTTGACAGGGAGCCAGTGGAGAGAAGCTAAAACTGGAGAAATATGATCTCTCCTTCCAACTCTCATTAAAACTCTAGCAGCAGCATTTTGGATTAACTGAAGACTTCTTAAAGAGTTTTTTGGAGCCCAGATAATAAAGAATTACAGTAATCCAGCCTAAACCTGATAAATGCATGAATCAGTTTTTCTGCATCATTTTTGGACAAAATGTTTCTAATTTTAGTGATATTACACAGGTGGAAGAAGGCGGTCCTGGTAACATTTTTAATGTGGAGGTTAAAAGACACCCTGATCAAAAATAACACCAAGGTTCTTTACATTAGGACTGGAGGCCAGATTAATGCCATCCAGAGGAGGTGAAAGGCTGCAGATTTGATCCCTAAGATGTTCAGGTCCAAAAACACAATATATGTCTTATCTGAGTTTAGAAGCAGAAAATTAAGTCATTCATGTTTTTATGTCGTTAAGACATGCTTGTAGTTTAAGTAACTGATGGAAAATCGAAATTCACCCCATGCTGTTTAACTTTACCTAATGGAAGCATATACAGTGGTTTGCAAAAGTAKTCATACCCCTTGAACTTTTCCATATTTTGTCACATTACAACCACAAACATAAATATATTTCACTGGAATTTAATGTGAAAGACCAACACAAAGT